GAGATCAATCTCACTTTGGATGTCAGATACAAGGATGCAACATCCTAGACTGGGAAGTGTTTGGAAGTGGCATTCAAGTTACACTCACTGAAGGTGGTTTCTAGTTATTTTCAGTGCTATGCCTGTTTATGTCAAATGGGGAATCACTTGTAGGGTCCTATATCTTTAACTACTCGAGTACAGTTCTGTGTTAACTATCCAGGCACTTTCCTTCTGAATGATCTCTTGCTAATGTTGGGGGCATTTAATCCCCCAGATCTGCTCAACTGCGGAGCCAGACAAAAGTCCTAGAAAGTGGAGAGGGAGGAGAGAGTAGTGAATGATCCGGTGGGACATAATTCAGTTTTCCTGCATACTGTTTTATTAGAAATAATTCTATAGACTTCCAATGAGAAAGATCTCAGAATTATCCTGCTATAGCTATGAGAAGATTTCTACATAAGAACTGACACCAGTTGGAAAATCAATCTTATACGAATATTCATGGGAGTCATGCCTAGTACATTTAGGTTCTCCTTCAAGATATATCCTTGGCTAATGCTCAGAAATAGGCTAGGCTTTCAGTTCCAGAAATGACTTTCCTGTGGTTGAGACCTCCTTAAGTCCAATTATAAGCTGTTGGTTACCACCAATGTATGTGTGCTGCTCTTGCAGCCTTCAGGTTATCGTGCAGTGCAGACCATTGTTATGGTTCATAATTTTCATACCTGGGAAGGGCTGTTGGCTTTATGTTGGGGGAAGTCTTGTGTCTTTGTCAATAAAGAACTGTTGGCCAATAGCGAAGCAAGATAGGTGGGACTGGGAGTCCAGAAGGACTCTGGGAAGGAGAAATACAGAAGTCAAGATATAAGGCCATGGGATAGGATGCCCAGAATGTTCTCCGGTAAGAAAAATACTTAGATTATCAATTATGGGATAAATAATTAAGTCAAGACTAGCCAGTAAGAAACATACAAGGCCAACAGCTTCATAGTTAATATAGCTGCCCGTGTGTATATTTGGGCCTGATGCAGCTCTGGAACCACACTGGCAGGAAGGCTTCACTTTAAAGCTTTAAAAGTTTACAGATTGCCTTATGATACCAAGGAAGCTAGCCCCATGTTGGAGACTTTCAATTCCTGTCCACATCAAGACTCCTGGCTCTGAGACAGGGTTCTTCTGTATGGTTTTGGAGGCTCTCGCACCAGCCTGGTCTCATCCTCACAGACATCTGCCTGCCTCTAGCTCGTGAGTGCTGGGATTAAAGGCGTGTGCCACCACCGCACAGATACACCAAGCATTTGAAATGAGGAAATGCTCAAGGCCACCAAGCACTACAACAGATTGAATTATCCTCAGAGAAACTGAGCTCACTCCTTAAATCCCAGCACTGAGGAGGTGGAGACAGAAGGGGTGTGGCTTGGCAGAGGGAGGTATATATGGCATGAAGAGAGTCATCTCACCCCCTTCAGTCTGAGGATTGCTAGACATCGGTTCTCCTCCTTTGTGCCCGAGGATACACGAGAGGTAAGAAGTCACACTTGGGATTGGGTCTTTGATTCACCGACCTTTCAGCATTAACTCTGATTTCTGACTCTGGGTTTACTTAGACTAATTTGTATTCTGGCTATACAACCTGTTGTTTTAATTTGTGTTTTGTTAAACCCCCATAATATAACTGTGAATTTTTTACATGATGTGGTCAATGTCTGCAGCGTAATTACAGGGGTTTGTACTCAGAAATGATGTCCTAGGATTGCAGCAGTCCAGCATCTGTGCGTGAGAAGAGCTTATTTGAAATCACATCTGAAAATAGCATTATTGTTCCATGTGCATATTGTAAACACTAACATTTAACATTGAAATTTTTCCCCAGCATTAACTTTTCAACAGAGAAATATGCACTGACATGTAAATATAGCATTCTAAATAGTATTTTGACAGATTTTGGCAAACAATTTTATCCCACCATAGGTGAGGCAAAGACAGCTGGATGTCAGTGAGATACAGGCTATCTCTTCACTATATTGATTTCTAATTCAACCTGGGCTTCGTTGTGACAATGTTTCTCTGAAAAGAAAAAGAAAACAAGAAATTTGTATTTTTGTGCTGTGTCCTTATGGTTGCACTCTTGAGCGTGTTACATGGTACCAAGCCACAGTATTTTCCCAGTTAGAAAAGGAGTTTTAAACAAGGTGGTGTTGACACAGGTCTTTAATCCAATTTGTCAGTATTGTCCTGGTATCTGATTCCAGGATTTTAAACACGAATTATAATTCTGGAGAACACGAGATCTGATTCCTAGACCACCATGGCCAACAAAATGGATATGTCTTTGGATGACATCATTAAGCTGAACCGGAGCCAGCAAGGCAGTCACGGCAAAGGCTATGGCTGGAGCATGGCCGGCTACCAGGGCCGCCATGGTGGTGCCATGCAGGCCCCTGTGTGGGGGAATCGACACAGAAGATCTCTGAAGAACTGGCCTACCATGAGTGGTGGTTCTGCAGGAGGAGGCAGGAACCGGCCGGCTCCATACAGCAGGCCTATACAACTTTCCCACAAGTGGCAGCATGACCTATACGACAGCCACTTCTGTGGGGGAGCCAGCATAGAGATGGGCGGAAAGCTGTTTGTGTCAAACCTTGGCTGCGGCATGTCAGACACGGATATTCAGGAACACTTTTCAGAGTTTGGAACACTGAAGGCAGCAGCTGTGCAGTATGCTCGCTCCGGACGAAGTTTAGGGACAGCACATGTGCATATTCAACAGAGGGCAGATGCTCTGAATTCTATGAAAGTGGTGTCCCTTTAGGTGGCCGCCCCATGATCATTCAGCTTGTCACTTGGCAGACTGACTCACAAAGAAAACCTGCACAGAGAATGAACAGAGGTGCCATGAGGAGAAACCATGGCTCAGGGTGTTTTGGTGGTGGCCTCATCAGGAGAGGGACCGGTGGAGGCAGCCCGGGAAGGGGTAGATGTATGAGCAGGAACTCAAAGCAGCATCTTTCTGCCGAGCAGTTGGATGCACAGCTGGATGAGTACAATGCACAGATGAACACCAGTTAAACAGCTGGGCAAATCCACAGAGGTGACTGGACCCAGAAGCTTCCTCCGTAATCCCTTGAGGGAAGCCTGGCAACTGGACTGTGCACACAATGGTGGATTTCTTTTTCGTTTGTCTCTCTCTCTCTCTGTGTCTCTCTTTTTCCTGTTTTAAAATGGGATCAAAAAACTCATATAAAGGCTTTTACACACTTTTTTTTATTTCTGAAACAGACCTGCTTTGTACCGAGTTATTTTGGTGATGAGTTTTACTGGTTTCTGTTGTGGAGATGGTGGCATGTTCACCTTTGCCATAATAAACTAGAATTGTGTTTAGGAAACAAAATAAAAAGAGAATTCTGACTACAAAACCTATTGTGTTTTAGTTTGTTGTGAACTGACACCTAGTGGTGAGACTGTGTAATTCCCACAAGAGGAGGGTCAATGCCTGCAGCCTGCTCAGGGGGATTTTTACAGAGAATGGATGTGGCAGAGTTGCAGCAGTCTGTTTTCTGTGGGTGAGAACAGTTTGCTTGCTGTCTCCCTTGCTCCTCCTGAGGGTTTCTTGGAAAATTACTTGTTCAGTGTTTTTCTTTCTGGCAGATTTTCATTAAATTTGGTCTCCAGTAAATTATGTAATTCATTTTATGTGGTTTTGTGATCCCAAACATTCAGTTCCATTTCAGCTCCTGAGGTTGGACTGGGAAGTGACTGGAAGTGGCATTCAAGTTACACTCACTGAAGGTGATTTCTAGTTACTTTCAGTGCTATGCCTGTTTATGTCAAATGGGGAATCACTTGTAGCGTCCTATAACTTTAACTACTCGCATACAGTTCTTCTTCCATAATTACTCAAGGGAGGGCTGGCAACTGGACTGTGCACACAATGGTAGATTTGTTTTTCGTTCGTCTCTCTCTCTCTCTCTCTCTCTCTCTCTCTCTCTCTCTCTCTCTCTCTGTCTCTCTCTTTTCGTTGTTTTAAAATGGGATCAATAAACTCATGTAAAGGCTTTTTCTTTCTCTTGTTTTAATTCACAAACAGGCTTATTTTTTACCGAGTTATTTTGGTGATCAATTTTACTGGTTACTGTTATGGAGAAGGTTGCACTTTCACCTTTGCTATAATAAACTAGAATTTTGCGTAGGAAAAAGAAACTGAATTCTGGCTACAGTTTGTTGTGAGATGACACCTAGTGGTGAGACTGTGTAATTCCCACAGGAGGAGAGTCAATGCCTGCCACCAGCTCAGGGCGATTTTTTTTCCTTAAAGAGTTTTTTTTTTAACTAGACAAAATTTTTTTAATTTTACATAGCTTGTTTTACATGTCAATCTCAGTTCCCTCTCCCTCCCCTCCTCACGCACTCCTATTCCCCCCACCCTCCCACCCTATTGCCAAATCCTTCCACATAGGGGATATCTAGAGTCTGTCATTTCCCTCTTGGTAGGGTCCAGGCACTCCCCTAAGAATCCAGGCTGAGATAGCATCCCTCTTTGTGCTATAGGCACACGAAGACTGTTTGTATTCCAGGGATAGACACTGATCCACAGCTCAGGGCCCCATAGTTTGCCCAGGCCTTTTCGCTGACACTCACACTTGGGGGGTCCAGATCTGACCCAGGCTAGCCTCCCCACTGTCGCTCTGGGGTCCAAGAGCTCTCCCCTGTTCAGATCATGTGTCTCTGCTGGTTTTGGCAGCCCTTTCTTTGCCAATTTGCTCATCACTCCTCTCTCTCTGTCACTGGGTTCCTTGGGTTCAGTTCAGTGCTTAATTGTGTGTTTGCCTCTGCTTTCATCAGTCACAGGATGAAGGCTCCCGGATAGTTATAGACATCAAGTTCATTATCAGGAATGGGCATTTGAGGTGGTCTCTCCACTATTGCTTAGCTTGCCAATTGGTGTTATCCATTTAGATCACTCGAAGTCACTCTGGTGCCTGATGTGTCTTCTATCCTATGATTCCCTCTTCCCCCTATTCTACCACCACCCACTCAACTTCCTGTTCCCCCATGACCAACTCTCATCCTCTTCACCCCCTCTCTTCTTCCCAGCTCCCACTCCCCCACCCCACCCCTCGCCGTGTTCCCCATCCATTCAGAGGATCTCGTCTCAATCCTCTTCTCTTGGGTACTATGCATATATGCATACTTTTAGGTTCTTTCCTGTTTCCCAGACTCTATCAGTGGAAGTACAGACTAGCACTATCCTGATCCATGTCTCACATCCATATATGAGTGAGTACATACCATGCTTGTCATTTTGCGACTGGGTTACCTCACACAGGATGGTTTCTTCCAGTGCTATCTATTTACCTGCGAATTTCAAGATTCCATTTTTTTTTCTGCTGAGTAATACTCCATTGTGTAAATGTACCACCTTTTCTCTATCCACTCTTCAGTTGAGGGGCATCTAGGTTGCTTCTAGGTTCTGGCTATTACAAATAATGCTGATATGAACATAGTGGAGCAGATGCCCTTCATGTATGAAATTGCCTCATTTGGTTATATGCCTAAGTGTGGGATTGCCGGGTCTAGTAGTATATTAATTCCCATTTTCCTGAGGAATCTCCATACAGCTTTCCAAAGAGGCTGTATGAGTCGGCACTCCCACCAGCAGTGGAGAAGTGTTCCCCCCTCTCCACATCCTCTCCAGCATAAATTGTCTTCCGTGTTTTTGATTTTAGCCATTCTGACAGGAGTAAGATGCTATCTCAGAGGTGTTTTGATTTGCATTTTCCTGATGGCTAAGGATGTTGAGTACTTTCTTAAGTGTCTCTTGACCATTTTAGCTGCCTCAATTGAGAATTCTCTATTTAGTTCTGTACCCCACCTTTTAATTGGATCCTTTGGTTTTTTGGAGACTTGTTTCTTGAGTTCTTTGTAAATTTTGGAGATTGGCCCTCTGTCAGTTGTAGGGTTTGTGAAAATCTTTTCCCATTCTGTGGACAGCCTTTTTGTCTATTTGACTGTGTCCTTTGCCTTACAGAAGCTTTTTAGTTTCAGAAGGTCCCATTTGTTAATTGTCGATTTCAGTGCCTGTGCCAATGGTGTTATGTTTACGAAGTTGTCTCCTGTATCAACTCGTTGAAGAGTATCTCCCACTTAATCTTCTAAAAGTTTCAGTGTGGCTGGATTTATGTTGAGATCTTTGATCCATTTGGACTTAAGTTTTGTACAAGGTGATAAACATGGATCTATCTGCAGTCTTCTGCATACCAGTACCCAATTATGCCAGCACGATTTGTTGAAGATGCTTTCTTTTTTCCATTGTTCACTTTTAGCTTCTTTGTCAAAAATCAAGTGTTCAAAGGTGTGTGGGTTAAAATTAGGGCTTTCAATTCGGTTCCATTGATCTACCCGCCTATTTTTTGCCAATACCAAGCTGTTTCCAGGACTATAGCTCCATAATAGAGCTTGAAGTCAGGTATGGTGATGCCTCCTGAAATTCCTTTATTGTGTAGGGTTTTTTGGCTATCCTGGGCCTTTTGTTTTTTCATATAAAGTTGATTAATGTTCTTTCCAGGTCCTTGAAGAATTGTGATGGAATTTTGATAGGGATTGCATTGAATCTGAAGACTTCTTTTGGCAAGATTGCCATTTTTATTATGTTGATCCCACCAATCCAAGAGCATGGGAGATCTTTCCATTTTCTGGTATCTTCTTTGATTTCTTTATTTAAGGACACAAAGTTCTTGATATACAGGTCTTTCACTTCCTTGGTTAACATTATCCCCAGATATTTGATGCTGTTTTGGCTATTGTAAAGGGTGATGTTCCTCTGATTTCTTTCTCAGTCACATCATCATCTGTATATAATAGGGCCACTGATTTTTTTGAGTTTACCTTATATCCTGCCACATTGCTGAAGGTGTTTATCAGCTCTAGGAGTAACCTTGTGGAGTTTTTTGGGTCACTTATGCAAACTATCATATCTGCAAATAGTGAAGGTTTCACTTCTTCTTTTCCTATTTGTATCCCCTTTATCTCCTATTGTGGTCTTATTGCTGTTGCTATAACTTCAAGTATAATATTGAAGAGACATGGAGAGAGTGGACAGCCTTTTCTTGTTCCTGATTTTAGAGGAATTGCTTTGATTTTCTCTCCATTTAGTTTGATGTTAGCTGTTTGTGTACTGTGTATTGTTTTTATTATATTCAGGTACGTTCCTGTTATCCCTGATCTCTCTAGGACCTTTATCATGAAGGGGTGCTGGATTTTGTCAAAAGCTTTTTCAGCATCTAGTGAGATGATCATGTGGTTTTTCTTTCGCAGTTTGTTAATATGGTGGATTACATTGATAGATTTTCTAATATTGAACCATCCCTGCATTCCTGGGATGAAGCCTACTTGATCATGGTGGATGATTTTTCTGATGTGCTCTTGAATCCGGTTTGCAAGTATTTTATTGAGTATTTTTGCATCGATGTTCATGAGGGAAAGTGGTCTACAGTTCTCTTTTTTAGTCGTGTCTTTGTGTGGCTTGGGTATCAAGGTAATTGTAGCCTCGTAGAAAGAGTTTGGCAGTGAGCCTCCTGCTTCTATTGTGTGGAATACTTTGAGGAGTATTTGAATTAGCTCTTCTTTGAATTTCTGGTAGAATTCTGCACTGAAGCCATCTGGGCCTGGGTTTCTTTTTTTTGTTTGGGAGACTTTTGATAACTGCTTCTATTACATTAGGGGTTATAGGTCTGTTTAGATTGTTTATCTGTTCTTGATTTAGTTTTGGCAAGAGATATCTATCCAGGAAATTGTCCATTTCCTTTAAATTTT